ACGTGCTTTTGCTTTTATTTATCCTAACCTAACAATACTAATTAATAACTATCAATATTCAATTATTGTAATTTTTAATTAGTCACTAATTTAATAATTTAATAATTTTTATCAGTAGTGATTAATTATTATAACTAATCATGATAAGTGATAAATAATAATTTTTTAAAATATGTTGATAATCCCTTTTTTATTTTCACCGATATTATTTTCTTATCGGCACCACTGAGAATAACTCGTCCATTCAGACATTCAGTCATTCAGTTCAGTCAATTAGGCTCTCCCAAACTTGAATGCTCAAAATCGTTTGTTCATCACAAAACTATATAGTGTATCTTTGTAACACAGAATTCATAATAATTTTGATTAAATTGGTAAATTCATTATTAACTATTGATAAAATAATATGTGTCCATTTGTACTCCTTTATAGTTTATATACCAATGACATTACGACGCTGTTATACGTTATTTTACACGATTGAGAGATATACATTTCCAATAACATATTGTTATGCGACATAGTATTATGTTGAATAATATGGGTAATGTTATTAATTTTATGTTTAACAACAGTTATTTGTTTTAAATGCAGTTTCAAAAACTTACATACATACATACATACATAGGCGCAAATAGTGGGGCGGTTAGAGGCTAAGCCCTCCAAACATTTCCTAAATTTTTCAATATTATAAAAGTAAGGCTTTAGCCCCCCAAATCCTAAACGCTATTTGCTCTTATGCATACATATTAATATCAATTGTAAATTCACCAGAATATTTAAACAATATAGAACTTAAAAATTGCATTTACTTGCCTAAATTCTATATATACTTTATGTATAAGGTACATAGTTGCATAAGATACAAACATAAGTAATGTATAAATTATAAATATAATATGTATATTTTTCGTCACAGAAACAAAAAAAAAAAATACATTCAAATATACCAACATTAAATAGACAAATATAACTTTTAAGAAGTATGAGGTGAAGAATACACTGTTGAGTACTGTAGAGATGTGACAAGTTTACTCTAATTAACTGATTAATTTTTTTCAAATAAATGAACTGGTTCAGACAGTACAGTGAATCATTTGCTTATGATTCGTAAGAATCATACTTTATTTGTTTGGGACCACCACTGACAAGTTCATTTAATTGAATCATTAGTCAATTCTAATGTGAGTTGTTTCTTATCATAATTATACAAAATTAAATTAAAAGAATACAAAATAATTTATTATAAGAATATAAATATCCAGTATACTAGTCACTATTTATATTTTTTGATTTTTATACATTAAAAAGACAGTAAATTAATATCATCTACATCGTATATGCTGTTAAGTAAAAAATAATAATAATTAATAATAGTCTCAATTATCTGCACACCAAGTATCTATTTAGCTTAATTTTTATTTATTTTAAACCAACAAACCACTTTTAGTAATCAAAGGTGAGATATTTATGAATAGAGTAATATGGTTGGAAACTGGCAGGACAGCGATGTGATATGATATTTAATCTTTTAGTAGGGTAAATATTTAAACATAAGTTTAATCAACCAATGAGGGAGAAGCACATTGGAAATATAAATTTGTTTCTTAAATTACATTTTTACCGTTTCTTATTTTATTTTATTGTAACTATTAATAAGAAAAATTTCAATCCCCTAAAGTAGAATTTCTTCAATTATAGTAAAATTATTAACTCCAAAAAATACAAAGTTGTTTTGTTTTTTTTTCAACGTTTTATTTGTAATATCTATTTATTAGAATTTGTAATTTGTAATTTAATTTTATAAAATAGTATGTTGAAGTGGATTGTTATGAACGAGACATCTAGAATCTAAATACATTCTATTATAATCTATTTTTCATTTTTCGTATATATAAATATATAATAATATTAGGGCCTTGCCCTTGAGTATAAGTAGGTGCAACGTTTTAATGTTATTAATTATTATTAAATTGTTAATATTAATAGGGGCGTACCCAAGGGGTGTGGGGTGTGTACCCTCCCCCCATTGATTAACAAAATTAAAAATTCTTAAGTTGCAAATCACTTATTTTATACTTTTTACATGTCAACAAAGATTGCCCCCCCCCCACTCCTTTAAAAATTCCTGGGTACACCTCTGGGCAGAATTGAAATCCCTACTCATGGTACCCAATTTATTTAGTTGTGCTCTAGTCACAGTGTCACAGTATGGCACCTGACACGGATTACAGAATAACACAATATTATTATAGATAAATATTTACACTAGCATATATCCGGAAACGGTATTTATAACTCCTTGTGGTATAACTAAGTTGAAGCTAGATGCCCATTTTGTTCATTACTCGTAAACCACCTTGTGGAACTGTTAGTGGAAACAGTTTTTTCAGAACAATTTTTTTCAAATAATCTCCTAAATGGCTTGGGTACATGCATACACCAGCTACTGTATCTTGATGACTAAAATTGAAAAAAAAAACAACAATATTAATTAAATTATTTTTAAAATTGTATTGATTTAATGGCTCAATATCATATTAAAAATCAATGTAGTAAAATAGTAACCAATCAACATTATTCATAGTCCCAACACATAGTTTGTTCCAATATAATAATATAGCCATCAATATATGGAAAAAGACAAAACCTAAGTGTATCAAGAGTAGGTGACTAATGAGTAGGTAAGCATATAGTTTTTTTGTAAGTTTAGTGTATAATGTTGTTTGAGAGTAGCGAGACGATTTTTTTTGGTTATTAACTTGTAAAAAAAAGGCGTATACTGAATTAAGGGCGTCACATTTATGTTTGCTCCCCCATAAATTGTCCCTTAATACGGCCCTGAGAATAAGTATTGTTTAAGTAAATTTTGATAATTTAAAAAATAAAAAATGTGTGATAGTAACTAAAAGCAATGCTAAAGCTGCGTTTACACGGGGCGTGAATTTGAGAGTGAACCACACCACGACACCTTCGTTCGTATCTCACGACTGAAAATCAAACATTGTTTGATTCCATCACGTTTGGGTCGTGAGATACGAACGAAGGTGTCGTGGCGTGGTTCACTCTCAAATTCACGCCCCGTGTAAATGCAGCTTTAAAGTAGGTCTTGACGATCCTTAGTTAAAGCAACACTATTTTTTTTCTTCAGCCAAAGTCTGTTTTATGAATCTCATTTGAGTCATAAGTAGGTATAGCTTAAGCAATACTTATTCATAAGCATCGACTATTATAACAGCCCTAAACAATTACAAAACCTCAGGTGTTAAATCCACATCTGACAGCAACTTTGTAAGATAAATAATTATCGTTTTAATGTACCTATCTGTTAAGTTGTTTCAGATGTATCACAACCAATAAGTATTACATTAAAGGAATTTTAATACTGTACAAAACTTACATGAGATGAGTTATGAAGGTTCGAATGTGATTGTTGTAGCTTGTAAATAGGATACTAAGTTTAACTTGGTTTTAGCAATGGTTTTAATTGTTTGTAGATACATTTTACCTAGAAATAATACACTGTTGTATAACATAAAATGTACATACAACAAGCTATGTATAACTTACGAAAATTTGTAATTTGTATACTGCAAACGATAGTCAACAATTTGTTTAATTATACAAAACCTACTTAAAAGGTAAAAAAAAATTAATAAATTTAAAAAAATAATTTTGACATTCCTCAAGATATCAAAAGTCATTTGGACGAGCCAGATGTTTTTTGGTACAAACTATCTGAACTTTTATCAAATGCGCGGCGTTTTATATTTGAATTTGTATAATTTAAACCCAATATTTTAGTACATCATCGCATTGATGCTTTTAAGATAATGTTTATAGTTTTCTATTACTATAGCAATTGAAGTGAAATTAGATGAACCATGGTCTGATAGTACACACACGACCCCATTGTTATCAAATGAGCGGCGTTTTATATTTGAATTTGTATAATTTAAACCCTATATTTTAGTACATCATCGCATTGATGCTATTAATATAGCATAACATTATTATAGTGTCTTTAGATCAATGTTATCTTGATTCGTAATTTATGATGGAGCTCAGTTTCCCTCTCTATTGAAAACCTGAAATATAAATTGTAAACATTTCCTAACATTTCTTTTTTTAATACAAGACCCCCTTTAGGTTACCCCTAATACGTTAAGTGACTTGTTTTAAACAATTATTATTAAAGAAATAGAATGTTAGCAATTGGTCGGTTATTCAAGTCATACTCTGACTTTCAAAGTGAGTTTGAAAATTACAAAAAAACATTTTTTTTATGATTTTTCCACGAGTGATTGTCGCACTTTAAATGTAGCTCGCCGGAAATATCCGAAGAAACTGGAATTTACTCCAGATGGTTTAAAATATTATTTTATTAAGTTTATTTGAATACATGGTGGTGCTTTTAAGAAAAGTAAAAAATGTGAAGATGTACAATCCACATCGTAAGTAATATCAAACAGTCTTCATACTCATTATCATTAGGTTTGGACATTTATGTTATTTTATATTATCTAGCACAATGAAACAAAATTGTCCAGCTTTTATCTATGTGAGAGTTACTAACGATGGCATGAAGTTGGAAATATCGCAAATGGACGAAACACATAACCATGAGACTTCTGCATTTTTGTTCTCCAATTTGCCAAATCAACGACGCTTGGCACCTCAAATAAAAGCAGAAGTACTCGAACTTATGGATATGAAGGCAAATAAAAAGTTGATCCAGTCCAAAATCCACACTGAAACCGGTAAAATGGTAACATTAAGAGACTTATCCAACATACGCAGTACAGGTACATGAAACACAAAGTCTATTACATTAAAAAGTTTATCTTGTTAAACCTCGTTATTTTACAGAGATAAAAAAGCGAGGAGTTAAAACTTTTGAGGAAACAGTGGAAGACGTAAAAAAGCTTTATAGCTGCAATGTTGAACTGTTAACAGACCACGAAGGAAATTTCTTGGGCATGTTTATTCAGGACTCAAGAATGAAGGAAGAGTTTCAAGCATTCTCCGAGGTGATTATTTAAAAAATGAATATATTAAATATAATATTAATATCAAACTGTACTTAATGTATATCTATGTAGATGGTTTGCGCTGATGCTACGTACAAGTTGATAGACATCAAAATTCCATTATATGTTTTGTTGATCGAGGATGACAATGGTCGGAGCGAGATTACAGCTTTTGGATTGTTTGTCAATGAACAGCGAGAGACATTAGAATGGTTTTTTAACAAGTATAAAGAATGTTACCTAGCCTGTTCAATGACAAGAGTCTTTATTACAGATAAATCTTTATCTATTATTATTATTATTATCTTTCTTTATTTAGATATGAAGGAGCGAACTGTAATTAAACCTTTATTTCCACAGTGTAGACTGGTCATTTGTTTATTCCACACACTACGCACATTCAATCTCGTAATCACCTGCGAAAAATTAGGAATAACTCCCGATGAAAGGGACAGAAGTAAAGGTATAATCGAAAAGTTACGTTACTGCAAAAGCGAGAGAGAGTACCAAGATATGTATACCATTTTTTTAAGTGAAGCTCCTCATGCGGTAAAAAATTATTTTATAAAAAATTGGCATGATATCCGTGAAGAATGGGTAACTGGATTGGCATTCAATAGTGGTAACTTTTTAAATGCAACTAATAACAGGCTAGAAAGTTTTAATTCTAAATTAAAATCTGTGATACCAATATTTTTAAACCTTTCGGACTTCTTTAAACAACTATTTGTAATTCTCAAGTGTGTTCGTTCGGAGAGGGATAACAAGACAATTGGTGTCATACAAAAACATCCAACCAAAAAGTTTAAAAACGATGACGAGTATAAATATTATAAGCTTTTGACGCCATATGAATTTAATTATTTAAAACAAAGTCTATCAATCACAGACAATAGTAATGTCCTATGTACTACGTTAACTGTATGCTCTTGTGGATTTTTTAATTCGATGAAATTGCCATGTATTCATATTTTTAATAAATGGATATCAACAAATAATTGTTTGTACGATGAGAAACTGTGTGATAAAAGATGGACACGCAACTACTATTATATGTCTCAAACTATACTTAAAGAACCACTGATGCCATGCGAGGGTGAAACTCCTGTTTTTGTTGACGTACAACCTAAAATTTCAAAAATCATCAATAAAATTATCTAAATTAGCCGAACTTCTATCTACATCTTCACAACATACCTATGAAAGAAGAATGGCTCAATAGGAAAATATTATAAGTTTGTGGAGCAAAAATGAAGAAATTAGGATTGTACAATTGTCCAACATGCTAGTTCGTGAGGAAATTGATCAGCCCAAAGAATTTTATAGTCAACATGATCAGTCAGGTACCTATGTAAGAAAATATTAATTACAACATTATTTAACTTGATATTTATAATTTAGGAAAAATTACATTGGATAGTGACAACGTACCGTCAACATGCCTAGTTTATGAGGAAATTTATCAGCTGGAAGAATTGTATAGTCAAAATAACATACCGTCAACAAGCCTAGTTTGTGAGGAAATTGATCAGCTGGAAGAATTGTATAGTCAAAATGACATACCGTCAACAAGCCTAGTTTGCGAAGCAATTGATCAACCTGATGAATGTCAATTCAATGTTGGAACAGGTCAGTCAACAAGTGACGAAATTGATGTTGTTAAAACTCGAACTGAAAATGTTAAAATTGCCATAAAATATGTAATATTACCAAAAAAAGTTAAATGCTGGGGTAGACCTAAGGGAGCAACAAAAAACACAATAATCTTACAACAGATCAAACGAAAACTAGTTAAACCAGTACCATTCGTTTTACTTAACTATTTGACCAAGGAAAACTTGGTAATGGAATGGCTAACCAACAAGGCTGTGGTAAAAAAAGGTGAGAAAAGAAAAATACCTTATACAAGAAGGATATGTCCAACATCCAGAAAATGTGTCCAATGGAATTGTTGAGAACGAGATTGATGTAGCAAGTATCAAGCCATACTGTTCTAAAGAAGCATGGAAATCAGTAATTTCTTTAATGAAAATAAAAAAAAAGAATACCATCTGGATATGCCCAACGGTCAACTATCAAATAGAAGAACGACCATCTATTTTGTGCGACTCTTGGTTTGGTATCATATGGATTGTGTCAATAATAAGGAACACAGCAAACATTGGTTTTGCGACAAATGCTATACAAATTTTAAATAATATAATATAATAATTAACATATTAAACTACAATACAAATAATTACTTACATATATACCTAACCTTATAAATTGGCTTTCAGGTTAATCAGTAGGTAAGTCACTGGGTATCCAATGTTGGCAGTCAAGTGTTTACCTTGCTATTAAATATTAATTAGTGAACAATGAACACTGAACATAATTATAAAATATATCGATTACTAATTATTCGATTATTCCCATCACTAATAAATATTATAATATTGTGTGTCTACTATCAGTCAGACAATGGTCGTGTGTTTATCCACAGCGTTAAAAATTTGTCAAATTTTGCTCTCGGTGTATTTTTGCCTCCCTCATTCTATGCGAGCGCATATTTAGTAAAGTAAATCTAGTAAAAGTAAAAACAAGAAACAGATTAGTTACTGATACTATTCAAGGTTGTTTGTTTGCTTCTCAGGAAATGAAAATTAACAGTAGTAATTGTATTGATTTTAATCCCGCAAAAAAAATGATAGACATGATGGTTTCTAAAAACTTATATGAAAAAGAAATTAACAGAGAAGATGAATTTGATTTTGAGTCTAATTAGTTTTATTTATTTATTATTTTGTTTTTTATAATAAGTGTTTACTTTATATTGTTTTTATTTATATCTTTAAATTGTAATAGTTTTTAGTTTTGTTTACATTTTTTGTAATGTTTATTTTAATTATGAAAAATAAAATACTTTTAAAAGACTTTATTTTTTCAGATATAAATAATAACCAACTAGTTTGGTATCAACTACATAAATACATCTCTGGAAGATGGTTTGGTAAATTGTAACATTATTGAAGATTGTGCGGTTGAAAGACCTTCAAATTTTACGCCTGACATCAGGTCTAAGTATTCAACAAAATATTTTATCATAATCATACATTATTTTTGTATTGAAAAAATGCATTACCCACACACATAAGACGTGTTAATCTTTAATTTTAATCTCAGGAATATAACAAATCCAACTGGTTTGGAGATGTTCATATAGTCTTACATTATTTTTCGGTTTTTTTTTATTGCCATTGGATCTGGGATATAAAATCAGTTTCAAGTATTTATGTTTTAAAAATAAATACATGTTATTATTAATAATAATATGTATAATAACAGAATAAAGTATGATATTCAGAAAAATATTATTAAATAACTACTAGTTTTGTAAAATTATTTGTTTGTTTTTTATTTTTATGGAAGTTTTGACTTTTGAGAGTATAATATAGCTGACCATAAACAGATTGGAGATACTAAATAATAATAATAATATAATATAATATAATATGATATTAATATATATATATATATATATATTATTATATATAATACTAGCTGATCCCGTGCACTTCGTCGCCCGTTAAATGTATCAACTCAATATGACTCAAACTTTGTTCAATTCATTATTCAATATTCGGTGTATGGTGTTCAAAATTTATCTTATCTTTTCCATTACCCGGAATAAAAATTCTGAATCGCAGCAGTACATTATCCAGGGGCGGATCCAGGAATTTTCTGTGGGGGGGGCGCACATTTTCTAGACATTTATGTATACCAATTACATTGGTCTTCCGATTTTTCGTCAAACTTTCTATGTAAGTTAAAATTATATTTATGTAAAATTAAAAGTATTTTCCCAAATATGTTTATGATTTTATTTATATCTAAAAATGTAATAAAGATAGGTATAGATAAGAAGTAGATATATAAAAATAATGAATCATAATTACTATTTATGATAAAATAAATACTTTACTTAAGCAATAATTAGTTTAAGTATTACTATACTTTAAATAGGTACTACATACTTACTATTATATATAAATGTATTACCAATTTATCATTTTGAATAACTAACGTCAAATAAAATTAATCACAGTTTAATTCAAGTAGGTATAAAACTTTATTTTATATTAAATAATCAATAAAACAAAACAGAAAATAAAATAGTTGTTACTGTTATTATAACTTCATATATAGGTGCTTAATTATAAAATAATCATTGTACAGTTAATAAAATTACAAAATAAAGTCCAATTTTCTATTTTTATCATTAGCAAATCTATTAATGATATTCTCAATATTATTATGAATATCAATATTTTTGTGAATGTATAACAAAGCTAGACCAGTTAACCTTTCTTCGCTCATTCTAGTTCTTAGCCATGTTTTTAGTAAACGTAGAGAAGAAAAGCTTCTTTCTGCTGTAGCAATAGATATTGGCAGAGTGATTAGAATTTTAATAAATAAAGAAAATACTGGAAAATAGTCACAATCAAGCTTGTCTAGAAATGTTATAGCTGATGTTATAGTTGTTAGAAATATACCATTAATATTATATAATATATTATTATACCGTTATTATAACCATTTAGAAACAATTTAACATAAATATAGGTAACCACGACATAACACAGCTAGTTCAATACTGAAACTATTTTTTGTACACTTGTACACAATACGAAGAAAATCAGATATTGTTGTTGTATAATTTAAATTGTAATCTGTCTAATCTGATGAATAGTGAAATATTATGTGTATAGATATCTATTTCAATTATTACGATAACGGGGACTGTGCCGTACGTCGCGCGTCGTGGCCCGAAAATAATATGAATGGAATATTTATTTTTAGATATAATTCAAATACTTATCAAGATAATATTAATAATACGTAAACACTAAACACTACACATGTAGAAACACTAGAAACTAGAAATAACCTCGAACCGCCGTCCGGCGATGCGGAATATAAAAATACGTCTTATTATTATTTATTAAAAAGTACGTCATTACGCTACACACAATAATTTCATAAAAACATTTTACAATTTTTAAATTGTAATTAAAATGTAATTTTTCAACTAAATAAAAGCCGAGGGGGTGGCGCGCGCCCCCTGCGCCACCCCCCTGGATCCGCCCCTGACATTATCAGGTAGGCAATCTACCTGCGGTTGATCGCGGACCCCGTGCTGTTTGTACGGAAGTGTATGATTTAACTCTAAAGTACCTATCAAAGTTATACCAAGTTTATTTTGATATAATACTGTGGATTAATATAACAAATTTGGTTGCTCGTAAAAAATCGAATTTCTTAAAAAAATTATGATTGTTGAACTCCTTTTGGGTGTAACTTTCTGCGGTAAGTGCAACTCAGCCACCCTGGTAGGCAATGTTCAATAATTCGATTTGATGCAAGCTTGTACCTGATCTGCCCGAATAACCAATGGCAACCAATAAATAAATGCTAATTTCTAATGTAGACTGTAACCAATGGCAACTATAAATAAATAAAAACAAAATTTCCAATTTCTATCGTGAATCTCAATGTCCCTGTTTCAGCACCTATTTAAAATGCGAATTTTGGCAAATCCTTTCTTAGCGCACGTCTACATCATAATATATATAATAGCTATCTGTATGCCAAATTTCAGCCAGATCCGTCCAATGGTTTGAGCTATGCGTTGATAGCAGTCAATCAGCTTATATATCAATATAATATGTCAATCAGCTGTTTTATGTATACAGATATGGTTGCCATGGTAATATGGACACACACACTGACATACATTCATTTTTATATATATTAGATTTTTAAAAATGTGAAATTTTAATTTTGATCTATCAAATAAATATTAATTTATAATATATGATATTATTAATTTTTTATCGTCATATCTTTGACTACTTATCCTTTACCTACCATAGTTTTATCCGTTTGATTAATTAATAAATCGTTTAAAATAATGAAGATTTATGATCCAATAATTTTATTACAGATGGTGGCAACAAAAAAATTATCAGAGAGGGGGCATAATAAAATGAAACACCATAAAGTACATAAAATAAATAGAATGTTTATTCTTTGTAAACTATAAAATTCATTATTCTGCAGGAGGGGGGGGGATGCTCCGTCTTGCACCTCTGACCGCCCAGTTATAAACTATAATCATAAAACCAAAAAAAACTGTTTAAGCATCAGCTACTAAAGTTCAAAAACAAGGTATTTAGGTCCTTTGTTACTATTTTGCTAACATTTTTCTTAAGTGAGTAGCTGGGTTGCCCCCCCCCACCATTTTTTCATTTGATTTTTAATGTACGAACATTTATGTTTTTCAATCTGGCAACACTGAGTGCCCTTGTGTACCGCGACCCGTTAGCCATTGGTTCTCAACCTATACAACATACAGCGCGGGTTGGTTTTTTACGATATTTTAATTTTTAAGTGAGTTATTAGTATGTAAAATATTAATGTTTGAAAATGCTTATAACTATACTTATATCGTAAAAAAAACCAACGAGAGAACACAGATAATGTTGTTACCTCAAAGTTTGATATTCGGTGGATTCACTCTAATATCAAAGCTGACAATACTCTATTGAAACTAGCAAACGAAAATTTGCTATGTCGTACGTGTGTAAAACGGAGACAACACATCCGGGTGAGGCGTCCTCTTAATAATCGTTATTTTGAACAGGGACACAATTCAAAATAGGTCACTACTGTTGAACAAGTAAGAGGAATTTATATAATAATTGCATTACTAAACTCGGGCCACCGAGAGACCGCTACTGGGCGTCTTCCAAAAGCTCGTCGGATCTCGCGCATTCCCACCACAAAATCTGCCTGTATTCTGGCCGCCGCCACCATCTTTGCTACAACTATAGGGTAGAGTGGGAGAAATTTGGGTACGAAAACTCGGAGCTCGTTCATTTGGATGAGCTAACCAGTAGCGCTCTATGAGTGGCCAGACAATATTTCAAATTATTCAGACTTGTGAAACTTTTTTTGAAATAATATCAGTTATAACTGGAGTTCTGTCAGTAAATAAGTTTATTTTTTTGCTGTATAACTATTATTATAATTTATTCAATAATCATAATAATATAATATTATGATATTATTACATTTATTTTTATTTTATTATCTTAATGGAGTATTCAATTAGTATTAAATTATAAATAGATCAAGTTAAAAAAAAAACATCACATCTGCTGGAAGGTTGAGATTGCTTATGAAGTTGGTGAAGGTTTGATACGGGGTACGCAAACGCAATTGACGACCAGTACAAAGTACAGGCGTCGTTAGCAACCTACACGGAAAAAAATAATTGGTTGTGATAATCGATGAACAATTGGTACTACCCAATTTTTTGGTTGTATATATGACCACCGCCCTTTTGGTAATTGTTACAATTTATTTTATGTAAATGGTTTCTTTTATAGCAACAGAATAATGTAGTAGTAGGTACATATTTTATTATTAGTTGCGGCTACTGATTTAATGTATTTATAACAAGATAATTTTAGTTTATGTAAACAAGCGATATGTTATCATTACCAAAATAAATGTATTGATAACAATTTTTTTGGTAAACCTTACTAAAACTTTGGTATATACGGCTATTATTTTAGTTTGATGTAGTAAGGATATTTTGGTTAACCCAACATAATTTTTATAAGTTGTAGTAACCAAAAATATAAGTAACAACACATTTTTTAGTTTAATAATAATATAATATGCATTTATTTAAAAAGGCAATTAATTTCATATAATAACAAAATAATTTAATAATAGTAAATAAAAAAGCAGTATACAATTAATAATTAATATATATACAATATAAATGTAGGTAAATACATAATATAGTAAACAAATATAATGTATAATGAATAAACTTTTGCAATAAAAAAATAATAAACATAATTAAGTACAAAGAATAAAATATTAATTTTAAAAAATGTAGAACATTTAGTGTTTGAATTGTCTGAATAAAAAATATGCAGCAATATAAAATTTAAATAAAAATAGTTACATAATATACAATATACGAATACTAATAGTGCAGTTAATAATAAATAGGTAAGTAAAAACTTAATAGGTAAACAATATACATCAATATATTATAAATATTAATGTTATACTTTTGAAATAACTTTATTTTTAATTTTTAATTTACTACAAAATTACACAAGAAAAGTAATTTTTAAAGACCACCTCTAACTGTTATATATCTTTTTCCATTTGATAAAATATTTATATTATTTGGTATGGAATTTAACAAAGAATCATATGAAACAAATGTACTCTTGGTAATATCCACCTCTACTTCATAAGCAAAAAAACACTACTTGATCATTATTATAAACAAAAATTTCATTAATTAAACAGAAAGACGGTAGTTCTATTTCATGTATATTTAAAGTCAAAACCATTTTGGGCTGATATCGAGTACCTTTAATATTAATCCAGGAATATTTCCATAATGAATCAAACAATTCAATTGAAGTAAACACTTTTATTATTTTTATAATACCGTCAATGTCAACTGATTGAGGAGGATTTAATTCTATATTTCTACCTAGAGTACCTTTTAAAAATAAATGATTGAGTTGTAATTGATGTTTTATTGCAAGTGTCTCAAATGTTTCGCCTGTTACTTGAAGTATTTGCCGAAATTTTAGATATACGATGTTTAGCCTCAAAGCGCATTGACCATAAATTGATCAAATGGCCAAATTTCATCATCATGGTATGGTAATGCAACAAGTAATGATATTTAGATTTTAGATTGTTCTTACTCAATATAAGGTATAGCTCGTTATGTTCGGCAACAAGTGTTTGTAGTAATTTAGAACATTCTCTTTGGAATGATGTGGAAGTAAGTATATCCAAAATTTTTCTTAGTGATATATAGAGATACCATACTGGTTCATTCTGAGGAACAAAATCTCCAATGAGTAAACCAAAATACTTTACAAATGACATCATTTCTGAAGCAGAGAGCCTAATTGTATTCTTACCAATATGATCCATATTTAATACACATGGTTTACTTTCTTTATCAGGACCATAATCAAAGCTTATTATTCGATTATTTAGAACTTCTAAAGAAAATAATTTTAATTCCAATACATAGTAAGATATTAAGAATGATAAATCATACTTAATTACACCTTCTAGTAGATCATGCATCAAATCAACACCAACATGATCAAATATTTTAAATCCTCTAACATCATTCCAAACACAAACTCCTTAAATACCAGTACTACTTACATTATTTTCAATCAAATCTAAATTGTAATCATCTACTAGCCTTATCAGTGTTTCATCTACATAACATTGTTTTCTCATTACTTCTTTATGAACCTTGCACATTCTACGAGGATAGTTAGCTGAAAAACTTTCAACAAAACCAGTAATACTGTGTAATCCGAGATTATCTCCCAAGATAAGGCCTAGTTCAAATTTAATATTATCTAATTTACCATTACTTTAAATATCTATACCTTGTTCTCCTAAAAAGTTTAATTCATCAATAAGAGTTTTGAAAATAATATTGTTACCAAATTTTTGTCTGTCCGTTGAATGAAATAGAAGTGCTAAGAAAATTGTTTTTAGAGTAGACTGTATATGAAGTGGTAAACAAGGTATAGAAATATACACAGCTCCTAGTTTGTGCACACCAGAATGACTACCGAGAGGGTTACCTACTTCGTAGTCATCAAAGAATAAAAAAAATGGTTAAAACATTGAGAGCCATGTTTTTCCTGTTTTTCTTTCCAAACACTCCCTTGTATGAAATTTATTAAAATTGTTTCACAGTGTACGATATAATTTATATATTTTAATGTGGCTGATGAAATATTTTTCATTTGAAAAAAAATTTTTAAGACATAACGAATTGGGATAAACTATTGAGTACAATTAATTGGTGTAATTGAAAAAGTATTCGATATTGTGCTTTCATTTAGCCTTTGTCCTATTATATATTCTTGGGGTGCTATATATGTACCAAGTTCAGTGAAATATTTAAACCGTTTATACTCAGTATCTAAATTCATAAAAGTTTTATTAATGTTATCAATTGCACTATTAAAATATTCAAAAAAATCACCACATGATATTTCGTTTTTATCAATAGATAGTTCTAAAATACCTTTTTTCAATGTACTAGTTATACCACCTATTATTTCATTAATTCCGTCCATAACTTCTTGAACTACATTTCGAGGAATTTGTGAATTTGAATATAATGAAGCTAAAAATGTATTTATTTGTGTTTCTAGTTATTCTGATTCAGTGTTTGAAGACTGAGGTGAACTCACTGTGTTAACAGTATCACTAGCTATATATACAGGATTACCTGTAGATACTGATTGAGTACTAATTAATTCATATGTACTAGATGATTCAATAGTTAAGTATTTAGTATGAGAGGTAAGGTGTTTTTTAAAGGAATTTAATAAATGAAATGAACGATTACAATCATTTTCAGCACAAAAGTAAACAGAAAAGTTATAATTAAAATGTTTATATTGAAAATGTTTAGTTAAAATGTGAACTGTTGAAAAATATTGTTTACATATAAAGCATATAACCATTTTGAACAGGTATATATTGAAATTAATTATATTAGAAATATAGGTATTATATATCATGAAAAAAAAATACACTTAAACTGAAATATCTAGATCAGTCATTAATGAATTTACTGTCACATATTCTGTATCCCAAGAAGTTTTTAACTTATAGCAACCTTTTTGTATAAAATACCAAACCGGCTTACTTTCGACTGGATACTCTGCATGAAGAGCATGGATAATTTTAAAACAGCAGGCAACGGCAGTAATAATAGAGTTTACAAGATAATATGTATCATCAACCAAGACAAAATACTGAGCAATATCACTTATTGTTGGTCCTATGATAATAATCAAAGGTTGCAATGTAAAAGCTAATTGTTCATACTTTTGTTTTCTTTTTGTAATAGATTCCTGTAATTCTGCATGTGATCTTAAATGGAGTATGAAACCATCTCGCATTTCACTTTTTGAAGGTCTCCAATTACCTCTCCCCTTTTTCTTTTTAATAGTAACAGGGGAAAACAAAAATGGTAGAACCAAGAATTCTGCCACCAAAGAAGATTCTTCGTTTTCTGAAATTATAATAAAATCTTTAAACATAATAAATATAGTATACATTAATAATAAATAAATACCTTGAGCCTGATCTAAGTATTCTTCAAATAAGCTTTTGAGCGTAGGATCTCTAAGATTTGTAGAAACACTTCTGGCATGTTCTAAAATGCTGTCTTTATAAATGGGAATGTTCTCAAATAAGGTTTGTGTTTTTTCAGGATACAAAAAATTAAAGTATTCAAGTAACTATAAATGTATGATAGAAAATTATTGTATATTATGTAACAGTATAAATAAACACGCAAAAAACCAACAGGTTTTTTTAATGCTGGGAACTCATTCATATATTGAAGGCTGTTTGGGCTTCTGAATTTAATAAATTTTTAGTCTATAGCTTTTGGTGATATCCCAATACTTCTCAACTAAATGCCAGGGATCAGATGAGTTATTCAGCCATTTAACAGGTTCTTCAACATCTTCTATATCTAAACCAAAATGGAATAATAAAATATTAACACATAGCTGCAGAGCTACATAATATACTCAAAGTTATAATAAGATTAGGTAAAATTATGAAATTTGGGAAGTTAAATGATATGTAAAGTTAAAGATATGTTCTTTTGGAAAAATAGTAGTAATTTCTTGAGACAATGATAAAAGCTTTTGGCTGGTAACAATTTTATCTGGTTCGTTTTCGAGTTCTTTTCTGACTATTAAACTACATAATTTCTCCTCCCCAAGTTATCTAATACTCCACTTTCTCTATATTTAAACAAAATATCTTTTCCTTCATTTGAATTGTTCAAATAGTTGAGTACATTTTGTGCCTAAAATAAATTTTGGAAGTTTAAAAAAAATAAATAATAATATTTAAATAGCTAAATATTACCGATTCAGAAGATTGACGTATTAGATTAAAATTTGGGTACTGATTGTTAATTGCATTTGCATTTGATACATTTGATACATTAAGTGTTTTCTGATTATTGGAAGATATGAAGGAGATTTCAGTGTCTAATGGAGTAACTGGAAGATCTTCAATACTTGTCAATGATGATGATGTAGATGGTGATTCATAATCAATAGTTAATGGGGAAGATATGTCCTTTAACAAGAGGAATAAAATGTTAATTTGAAGTAAAAACAACTTGTTTGCATGATACTTTAATTATATATTTATATAAGTATTGAGTTTATTTGAACAAATTACCCATGAAGAATGTTGAAATACATTAGGTATCTAAGATAAACTAAATACGATGTACCTACCATTGGCGCACACAAGGGAGTTAAGGGGTCATAATCCAAAATTAATTTCTACAAATGCCTCTCTGCTCACCAATATGTTATTTTTAAAAAAAAATATAAAAAGCACAACCCCCTCTAAAAAAATTATGCGTGCGCTACTGGTACCTACATAATATTGTAACTGCAACTAATCCATAAATATATATAATATACGTATAAAATAAGTACATATACTATACATACCTATTGACATTTTAGAAACTGTGCTTACCATAATTGTAATTTGACTACTTGTGAGATCTAGTACTTTTTTCCATTCTTCAATATTTGCCTTAAGCTTGGCTCTATGACCAACTTTTGGAACTAGCTCTTTCATCATTCCTTCACTTAAAATGTTCAAACAAGGAATGTCTATGCCTTCATCTAACAATATATAAATTTGAGTAAAATACCTTTAATTACTACGTCAGTACAGGTTGAATTTATATGATATTACATGTGTTGTCTTTGTACTATAAACGTACAGAGTTTCCAATTTTGTGTCGGTAGTTAGCTAATATTGGAGTGAATTGAACTATTAAAAACTTAAAGGTAAGAACATAGTCTGTGCAGTCTCATGGGTTTTTTAAGATATTTTAATTTTTAAATTGTATATTTTACATATTTTACGTACTCATAATTAACTTAAAAATTAAATTATTGTAAAAACCCACGAAATTGCACAGATAATGTTCTTACCTTCAAGTTTATAATAGTTCAATTCACTCTATAATATGAAAGCTAATTAGGTACACAAAATTGGAACTCGTGAACTAAAATTTGTTATATTGTATGTTTGTGAGACGAAAACAACACATCTGGGTGCGGTGCCCTCTTAATTTGGACAATTTACAATTGGATTAATGATAACTTAGCTTAGGTAATGTTATATTAATATATTATTATTTATTATTATCATTGTTTAGGCAGGTTAGAAAAATAATAATACATCATAATTCATAATATTATATGAGTTCATTCAGATCTTACACGTTATACACATAATATATATATACCTTTCAGATTTATAATGAGTTGTACTTACTTTGAAAAACTTCTATGTATTGTTCCAGCCCCCAAGCCTTTAACATATTCGCCACATCGGCATCAGCCATAATAATATAAATAAATTTAAAACTGTAGGTAATACAAACTGAATCAATAAAAATGTAGGTAACAAACTAATAAGGTTGTACAATTGTACAAAATTGGTATTTTCACTATTCACTATTCTGCATAGACGCGTCGTGGCTAGGTTGTGAAGTGCGATTTCGTCGATGTGCATTGTGCGTCGTGCGCTCGTGCGAACGTCGAAAGCCAAACACGGCGGCATGAATTTTTATTTTTACTATACACATGAGTAATACCCACAAATATAAAACCGGCAACAAATCGTTCCGTTATTTTTACCGAATTTTAGTTGTTTTTACGTAATTAAATTTAATAACAACTAATCATATTGTAGACATAACCAAACAAAAATGTAGTCTCAGTTACATGTAGATTGCAAACAATTTTAGCAAAACAATTTTGTTGTGTTTACAAAAATGTTATTGTACCCACCATATAACTTTTACAGAACTAATAAAGTAACCATACAAAATAAGCTCTGTAATTATAACCAAAAAATTGGTACATTTAGATATTAATACGTTACCGCTACTAAATATCGTTCAACAGAATATTTTGGTAAATTATTTTTTTCCGTGTATCTGCACTTCGTATACCCCCACCACGGGTTACGACGACGCGACACAGTAGACTCCCCACCATGCCAAAAGGCACAAGGTGGGACGGGAAGGCAAGTCGCGCTGAACAAGTACCGGCCGCCGACGGTCGCTCTCTCGCTCATTAATAGTGATGGGATTTTTCGTTCCTTTTAGTGAATCGTTCCTTTTTTCCAGGTCCACAAAAGAAACGATTCCAAATGACTCTTTCCATCGACATTTTATGTGATTTTAATTAATGAAATAAAATAGTAAATTCAAATTAGATTTTTGATCATAATTTTTATATCCGTGATAAAATTTTAAAAAAATGTAAGCTTGTTGATACAAAATAAAATTAAGAACTTCTTTAAAAATAATTATATTAAACATTACTATTTAAAAACATTAGCGTTTCTGCATTTTTCATTGACAATCTATTACGTCGGTTTGCTATAGTGTACCCAGCTTTAGAAAAAATACGCTCGCATGGTACTGAAGTTGAGGGTACACACAATCTCAACAACGCAAGCTGGAATAAATTGGAATAAATCCTTTTCACTTATTTCCACTACATTAATGGATCCGATTTCCTATCCAGCAATGGCTCTCTCGTTCGTTTAAATATTTGTCCAATTCAACAATTGCTTTGGATCATGGAGAGTTGTAATTGCTGGGGTCTGTGAAGAATCGAATATTATTTTAAAACAAATAAAGTTATGTACTCAAATATGTAATAAGAATAAAACCTGTAAATCGAAGTCCTTCCAGATATCAAACTGTTCGTTTCATTTATATTTTCTTGAATGTCATTTACTTCGTCTTCTGATACATTATTTTTTTTTTGACTGAATTATTGTTGAAATACTTTGAATAATTTTTTTATATGCGCGTTGTTTTACTAAAACCTCTTTTTTTGAATCTTGGGTCTAAGATTGTTGCTTCTATCAAAACTGGTTGTTCTTCAATCCCTTCAAATTTTTTTTCTGCTTTATTTTCCATTGTATTAAGCATAGAATATATGGAGGAAGGTAAATTGGCTTCTTCTTTTTTATATGAGATAATAATACATTACTTTTAAAATCGATACTCCTTTTTCAGAACTTAGCTCTACCGTCTTTTCTTTAAAGGGCTTAAAAATACTACAATAATGTTCCAATATATCAAAATCATCAGGTGATAAATTTTCAAGGTTACCAATAATCGGTAATGTAGATATTAAAGGCTCTTTAATACCAATAAACCTTTGAAACATATCGTACGTGCTGTTCCAGCGTATAGCAACATCTTGTATTAACTTAAGTTAAGGGAGACCATTTGTGTTTGCGTTTGTTTCAATTTAACATAAGATTTTGTTGATCGTTTAAAAAATTCTACAATACTCTTAACTTTTTTGTGAACATTTTTTATGTCCACTAACCTACTTTGGGCGATTAAATTAATGCTGTGTGCCAAGCATGGAATATGACGCCAATTTTTATTTAAATTTATAGCACTCTTAATATTAGCTGCATTATCACTAACAGCAATTTTTATTTTTTTCAGATATTTCCCACTCATTAAAACATGCATTCATAAATTCAGATAAATTAATTGCGGTATGGGATTTTTCATAATAGTAGCATCCTAATAAATATGTTTTTAAAACACATTCTATATTATCTATATAATGAACTGTTATAGCAACGAAACTATCGTTGTTCAAAGATGTCCAGCCATCTGTAGTAAATTCGATGTATTCCGATTTTTTTAAATTAGCTTTTACGTTTTGCTTAGTTTTTTCTAGTGACTGTGGTATGATAGACTTAGAAACTATTTTTCTTGAAGGAATTGAATAACTAGGATTTAGCATTTTAACAAATTTTCTAAATTCCATGTTTTGAACAAGACTAAAAGGTTGACATTATTTTGCAGTCATAGTTCCTCACTGCTCGTCAATTTTTTGCGATTTATTCATAGGTAGTGGTCTTGGTATAAATGAGTCGATCAGTGTTTGAGATTGAGAAGTTTTAAGAGGAGTATTTGTTATTTTAGATGTCAGAGATGAAGATGTCGACGGTTGATTTTGTGTTTCAGTATTTTGCTGGACGGAAATTGGATTAGGCTCATCAATATTATCCTCCAGATCTAAATCGTGAGTTATTTCAGTGTGAACATTTTTCCTAACCTCATATTGAATAATATGTTTTCTTTTCAAATGCCTACTGAGATTCGCGGTTGAACCACCTCTAAAAGAATAAGAAACCGAACAGTAATAACATTTAGCTGTTTCACTACTAACTGTCTTAAAATTATGCCAAATATCACTTGTTTCCCTACTCATTTTTAATATAAGAGAAAAAAAAATAATTACCAAGGTCCACGAATAATAATTGTCAAACGAACTGCGACTAGCCGATAAACAAACCACGGAAGAAATGATTATAATCTTTATACTAAAATTATCCATCATGATTTGAGCTATTTTCAAATTTGTATAGTCCCATAAATATATAATGGTACGTGTTGTATAATATTATTATAACAGGCAACAGCCTGCACGTTAGTACATCACAGTCGTTACGTCTAGAAAAAGTAGCATTACGAACAATAAACGACGCGTGCATCTTGTCGGTCTCAACTTGGTATTTCTGTGTAATCGTTCGTGATACGAATGTGGATCAATTTGATTTTGGACCTATTGCACTAAATGGAACGAGTAGGTGGAATCGTTCCGATTCGTCCCCCCTCTGGACTCGTTCCAAAGGAACGATTCGTTCATGAACGACCCACCACTGTCCACTAACTATCTGACAACCAACGCTGCCTACTACTACTACAGCTAGTATTTCACCACGGTCCCACCACGCCGTAGAACATACCGTTCTGTGTTCTGCCTTTAATTGTGTTTTAATATAACATCAACTCGCCACGAGTTTAACTTGTAAATTTGTCTTGTGCCAAATAAACGGTCCCAAGCGGACATTATAACCACTACACATCAATCGCGTTGTTAGTTGTTTCTTGTTCTTATCTCTAACTGGTGAGTGTCTACACCAGTGGTGCCCAACCCACGTCCAGCGAAGATATTCTGTGTAGCCCGTCAACATTTTTAAATAAAACAAAATATTCTAAAAAAAGTAAAATTATATTTATACTCAAAAAAACTACTTCGGAGAAGTAAAAAAGGCTTTCTGTGCGTAAGTTGAAGAGATTGGGAGAAAAGATAGAACTTTGGTGTTAATAAAGATGTGAAATCAATCTCAAAGTTCTGTGCCAAAAAGGGCCACGGTTGAAAAAATTGAATTTGGGGCTTAATAAAGAAGTGAAATCAATACCCAAATTATGTGCCTCAACTTGAAAAAATATCTTATTCAAAAAAATTTCGAGATGTTCAACTGTACAAAAATTAAAAAAAAATATTAGCACAGAACGGCGTGAATTACAGTTTGTCAACAAAAATTCGAATCAGACGGATTAACTCGTAAACAAGTCGACAATTTATGGCTAATTTTATAGATGGTGGTCTGGTTTCCGCGGTGAGCCGGTCGTGTAGTGCCTGTGAGTGGTGCGTAGGTATGGTGAACAAGAGAACACAGGTTTCGCTGAATTGTCCTCGAGGGACGTATATTGTTGAGTAAGGAAAAACGGTGATGACAAAATAACAGACAAAAGACGAAAGTAACGGCCGCAACGTGGCCGTGGTCGCGTTGGGGTTTTCCGGCGTACGTGTGTGCCTGCTAACAGTATTTAGTCGAGAGAGCGAGCCGTAGGCGGCCGGTACGCATATTAACAAAGTGTACATGATCTCGGCACTGCATATAGAATAACCCATTTTCATTGGCCGATTCAAAACCTATTCATTTTACCGCGCATTTTCCTGCTGCAGATATTTTGATAACAAAATTATTATCAATTACATTTGCTAGGTATATATATAATATATATATAATGTATTTATTACTGAGTAGTAAAATATAATAGTTATGAAAGTAAATATTATAAATTATAATATAGGTACCACTTATTTTGATCTCGGCTTTGTAGAACACAGTATACCTACCTAAATGATTAATAATTAAATTATTTAAAATTAAAAGAATGTTTAGTGATTTATGAACGGTTAAGAAAAATGTTTTAGTACATTGTTTCATATGATACTCTATGCATGAAGAGGTTAACAATACATAATTGCAATAAATTACATAACCAAACACATTTAAATATCGTCACTATAACAACAGAAAAAAGTAAAAACAATGATATATCATTTATAGCAGGAATAAACTTTGTGAAAAATTAATATCAATGTTTCATTTAAAATAAACTATTTATTAGTCGTTCCCATTGACATAAATTTAGGATAGAAGAGCAGTTGATGAAACTGTGTTTGCTTTTATTACTTATATTTTATTATTGATATTATAGTAGTAACATAATATGTACCACATAAGTGCATGACCATATGTTACAGTTAACATTATTAAATATACTTGACATAGTTATTAAAGTATTAATATAATATGCAACATTGCAACAACTACCTATTAATAAACTAATGTGATTTAGCATTTGGTTATAACTTATAACTAAAAATTAACTTTTTACAGTGAAATAAGTGCCTCGTAGGCAGTTAGTAAGGTACATAATTACATTGTAAAAGCATTAATTTAACATTTTTACTTTATCTGGGATTTGAATAACTTTTTCCCATATTTAATTAATGTGGAAAAAAATATATATTTATCATATATACCTTGTCAATTGCAATTCTAATCATACCAATATACCAATTACCAAAACCATACCAAGTTGGACAGTGATAAATCATTATTGTATATTTTTATACTATAAATAGATCATTAACAAATATAGTTTGTCCTTTATGCAAACCTAATGTCTTAGGTTTTATTCTCTTAGAATATTACATTTCATTTGCATTAATTAATCCGATTGGTATTCTTGTCATCGTTTTCAACATTCTAGTGTAGTAGTGTGAAAGCATTTTTGTAATTAAATTGTTTTTATTTATTATCACTCACTATATTATTATATTAAGTATATAAAGTAGGTATCTATGTGAATAAGTAGATATTAAAATGAATACAATCACAGTAAATTTAACTCCAGATCAATTACCTTCGTCGTTTAACAATGAAATTATAAGTTGTAGTGAAGGTAATTACGTTATACGTTCAAATATAACTAATTTTGATCTTTGTGACAAATGGGTTGGTGAATTTTCTGAATTATCATGTACATCTTGGCAAGTAAGGAACACTAATCAAAACAGTGAACGCTTCATTAGCAGGTAAGATTTCAAGTAATTGTAATCAATATTGTAATGTATCTTTGATTAAATTATCTTATTAATTATATATACCTAATAAGTGACTAATTTTATAATTTATTCTTTAAACAATACCTATAATATATTTAGTTTTGTATTTAAGTATAAATTATGATAATTATCATAATACCTATATTCTGTATTAGTTATATTGTACCTACCTATATTGAATTATATTCTGAAAAACTATATATATGTTTCAGAAAAGATTATACTTGTCATCATAGTAATTTTAGAAAAGTTGAAGCAGCACAGAATAAAAGAGGTAAATCTAAAACTATAAACTGTCCTGCAAAAATAAAAATTATCGTGAAGAAAACTACTGTTGATACTCTCAAGAAGGATAAATTTAGTAAGATTATTTTAATTTAATTATTTACTTTAGGGTACAAATGATGAATTATATATTTGATTGTTTACCGATTTAAATTAATTTACAGTCAATAAATGCCATCATAGGTACATATTTTATATCTTATTCTTTTCATTTTCAATATTTATTTCATTCAATAGGTACTGCATATAAATTACATTGCTTTTTTTTTTAATACCTACATGAATAATGTTTAAAATAGATAACTCAATGTCTCAATAGCTCATGCAATATATATTATATACCTAATTGAGTTTTAGTAAATATTACAAAGTTTTTTTATTGTATAAAAATATATTTATTACCTACTTATTTAGAATGGACTTGTAGCAGTAATTAATATACTGAGTATTCATTCTCATTCGATAACTACTGCTGAAGCTTTGAGTAGTTTAAAAGTGTCTGAAGAAACTAAAAAACAATTTGAGAGTTATTTCAATGATGGACTTGGTGAGTATAAAAAAATAAGTTATAAATAGTGAACCCATAATATGTTAGCAAATAGCAGCAAAGTTTATAATAGGTTTTGTAGCTCTATGTAAGACCTTTGCATTTTATATAATTTCTAGCCTATTTGAAAGAAGTACCTATATAATATATTGTTTAATTTAATAAATTACATTGGAATTATACCTAACCTAGGCATTATATAGAATAACCAATTTTTTTTAATTTAATAGTTTAAAATACTATACCTAGTAATTAGTACCACTCTTTGAGAGGAATGAAAAAATGTCAAGGAACTAATACTCTGTTAATACGATATAAAATCCATAGTGTTGTATTTAGAAACAACATAATATTATGAATTATAACAATAAAACAAATATTTAAGTTATTCAAATAAACAATCTTGTGTAAGATACTTATTAAATAAGCTATAAAGATACAAATACACTAATCTAGAAAGTGTATAACAATTTTTCAATTACTTTTATCATTTTTAAATACTAGTTGGTTTTCCAAATTAATTTTGAAATAACTAATTTAAAACTATAAAGACTTTATAGGACCATTTATGAGTGAAAAACTATTATAAAAAAAAGGTGTAATAATTTTCAAAAAAAGTGTGTGATGACTTATGAACAATTTGATTGAATTTTGAAAAGCATTTAATTTTCAAATACAAATACGGCCAAGACAGTATTTAAAATACTTTACAAATACTTAAATTAAAACATTATTATTATTTTTTAGGTATAACTGATGCAATATTATTTCATGAAGGAAAATTAGAATTGGAAGGAGATGAAAGCATTATCGCCAATGCGTCATTAAACCCAAAATACAGGACTGTTCAATACTTACATAATTTATGGAGGACACTGAATTTAGGACCTAGGATAGGAGATGGTGTTTTGGAGGTAATATTATTAGTTATCATAACACCAATTAAAATGGCTATTTAAATAATTAATAGTACCTACCTAATAAGTTACCTATTTTATTCTTTTTTAGAAACTTAGATCAAAAATGTCCTTGTATAATGAAAAAGGTATAAAAATATTAATAAATGAAGATCCTTTTTCAATAGTAATATGTACCCCATTGATGCAACGTGCACAAAGCTTGCCTTACTCAAAAGACATAGTGTTTGCAGACACAACAGCATCGTGTGATG